AACAACGGACCGTGAGCGCATGACCCGGGTTGGCGCCGGCCGAACCCTATTCACCAGCGCTCCATGCCTGTTTTTCGTGCAATTCCGAGGCACAGTTAGGCGACGTCAAAGTCCCCCCCCACTCCCCTCCCCTCCCGAGAATGTAGTTGCCGCGGCGCGAAGAGAACCTGCTGTTGTTGTCCCACTTGCTTCTGATGTTGTTGTTGACTTGATTGTAACCCTCTCGACAACAAATAGTCAGAATGAAAAAAAAGTGCTTGAAATCGGAACAGTTTTCGCAGCTACTGTTCGACATTGACAAATCCATGTTTCATGAAAATAAAAGAAACGGAGACGGTTACTCGACTGACTTCATTTGCAAAGCTAATTGCGAGGAGGGGAGGGGAAAGAGTGGAAGTGATTCCATCATAAAAGTTGGTAGCGAAAATGTCTTTCCTTTTAGTATAATAACAAGCCTGTTGACATGTAATTTCTTCTTTGCCTATTATTCATTTGGCTCAGTTTTTAAGAACGCGGCTGTCTCGGTGGAATTCGAGTCCATGACAGTAAGGTCAAAGCTTCTGTATAGGCAACGCTCTAGCTAAATGAGCTACGAGGTCCCACCATGAACCGTGCGTTTAATCAAATTTGGATAAGGTGAACTGGCGTACTGTAGCATGCAGATTTCGCCTATTCTGGTGCCGTAAACTGACTGTCTATGCAGGATGCCTTAAGCCATCAAACTCAAATCAACAAGATGACTATCAGCATCAGTATCAGTGTATTTGAGGGAGATGTAGGTAGATAATCTTTAAATGCCCTATTTTTACATATGTTCTGTGGTAGCAGAAAAAATAATATCTCAGTTCAGTGGCTAGGCCGAAGGACATGAGTGGAACGTAGTTGAAAAGAGCAGATAGTGAAAAAACTCTTGGGATTTTCTTTAGGAAAAACACTTTCGCTCTTGGGTAGAGGGTCTAATGGAGGGGGAGAGGGGTCAAGAGGAAAAGCTGTCCCTCTTGGTGGGAGGGTCCACCCGAGGATTTAAAGGAGGAAGAACGTCTGTTGTTGGGGGGAAGGTCCAACAGGGGGCTGGGGTTCGCTATGGCCACCGGGATCGCCGCCGAAGTGCGGGAAATGCGGCCAGGTACTCAATTGCTGGTTGTAGAGTCCGCCGACAAATTGTGAGAAGCCAAAATATCCGCCAAGATCGTCGACAGGTTCACTTAATTCATGAGTGTTTTGGCCGGGTGGAATAATTCATCCGACCCAATTGAATCTTCGCTGTATTCAAGTCTCGTCCTTGCGGGTGTGGGTTCGAATCTCACGGAGGCCGTCGAGCTTCTCACAACTAAGTCAACTGAATCATCCAAATCCACTGGAAAAAAGGCTTGAATTTCATTTTAAAAATCTATCTCGAATTCAATAACTTACCATTGCGCCGCCCTGTTTTTAAAAACTGGATCAACATAACTATTTAAACCTGCCACACGTGTGCCTGGTGGACGTCTGATGGATTCTAGATGGATTGCTAATGAAATCCTATCTGATCAGTCAGCATACTACATGAGAATTGGTGGATTCCATACGTCGTAGTAGGCCAGGCGGGTAACTGGGACCCAACTGTAATTACGGCTTTCGGTGTGGCCTCGTAGCTTAGGTGGTTAGAGCGTTGGCTGAAATCAAGTCCGCTCCTCCCTGTTTTGAGTTCGAATCCCCGCGAGGCAGCCGCGTTTTTCACAATTGGGTCAAATGAATTAATGCAGGACTGGTGTTTTGCGGTCTCTTCTGACAGCAGTATATAATATAGTAATTACTTAGCTGCAAATCCCGTGTTGCATCGTTAAACACTACTCTGGCCTGATTGCAAGTAGTCTTTCCCCTTAAAGAACAGTTGAATAAAAGTACTACCAGTTTCTTTATTACTGTTCGACATTGGTTCTGCCGGTGAACAGTCCTTAGACTGTTTTAGCCCTTGGTGAGAGCAGCCCGCTAATGTAGGAGATATAAGCCCTTATGTGACAAGATCAGGAAGCATGGCATGCCTTCACGTTCCTGACTTGTGCGCACAGTAATTCCTCGTCAGTTCGCGGTTTGGTCTTCGCGGACTTTATAGTTGGCGGGTTTTCTCCTAGGACACATTCCACGGATTTTTAATATTTCACGCGGTTGAAAATACGTGTATTTTATAATCAAAATGTTCTAAACTATTTTTTATAAATACGGTAATATAAATTAACTTAAATAAAAATATTTCAAGAATATTAAATCGAAACCAAAGTTTGTGTAAAATAAGAGCACATAGCAAGAACGAGTTCGTTAGAGAACCAACAAGCCAACAACCTCAAGAGAAGTCCGGTGAGCAGACGCTTTTAGTAGAGCTAGAATAATGCTCTTCTCCCATCCATCTCGCCGTCATCATTACTTCACGGATAATTCAGTACCATTAATCATTTGCGAGTACCCATAAACAGTTCTATATTTTATACTGTATTATCTTTTATTTCTGTTTTTACTATTTTCTTGCGTAAATTGAAAAATATATAGTATTGGAAAGATTAGTAATATTTATAAGAGTGTGTGATGGTCTTATTAAGCCTTAAAATATATAAAATGGTTTACAGGGTTATTGAGCCTTAGAAATGTACATATCTATTACTTTCCGGAAATTCTAATTAAGCGCAACCTCCGCGATACTCGATGCTTCTTACCACTTTTCCTCTCAAATTTCGTTTTAACCCACAACAGAGCTAAGTTTGGGGAAGCTCGGTCCACAGCATCCGTTAACATTGAACGAAATAATAAAACGAATTCGGTTGACCCAATTGTTGAAAATTCGCGGTCTCGGTGGGACTCAAACTCACACAGCGGGAAGGCTTTTGAGCAGCCAACGCTCTACCATTGGGCTACGATTAATAACAATTAAGTGAGCCTAGTAGTAATTCTGGTGGATTCCAGATGATTGTTTAGGAAATCCTGCCTTAGCAGTCAGCTTGCTGTTTTCTAATGGTGGATTCCATACAAGCAGTAAGTTGGGCGGGCAGAACTGAT